GACTCTCGGATTCTTCGAATAATTAACAGAATTCGAAACGCATTATCAAATATTCAAGTGACAGCATTCTTTTAAAAAATCGTTCAATCCTCGTCCTTCAATACTCATGAAAGTGGAATTTCCACACTTCGTTCTGAAGTTTCAAACATGCTGGGCTGGAGAGGAAATCTCGGTGGCAGGAAACAGCAAGAGGAAGGAGGAAGAGCGATTACGCGTGCAAATGGTTCGCGGGGGAACTTTCGAAAGGTCGACACTCGGTGTGGAAAACGGGCCGAAGTTACATGATGGAAACACGTCGCACTCTGGGGAACAGTGAGCTACATTTTTCAAACTTCCGTTCACCTCGAAGACACCTCGATAGAGCGCAAGTGCTTTCTAATGCGAATCAACAAACTTAAAATCTCACCTTTGAAATATGAATTAAAAAAAAAAAAAAGAAAAATCGGTAAAAATGTTAACACTGAAATTCGGCAAATTTAATCAATTTCCAGGAGATATCTAAATATCGAGGGTGATTGAGAAATTTGGAAAATTCAAACTTCAATATGAATTCCCAATTTTGTCACAACTTTTAATTTGAAGTGTATTTCAAATTAAACAGAAAAAATATAAGAAGAATATTAGAAAATTACACTTCAGCAACGATTTCCATGTAAATTTGAAAATTTCATTATTAACATAGTTATTCGAAGAAGAGATACGGTTGATATTCGAGATTCACACGCAGCTTATCGCGAAATTAAAAATTCGAAAACGTCAAGCTCGTGCGAATACAACATAATAATCTTATCTGTCGATAAGATTTGATAAATGGACTACCTTTCTATGAACCTGTCTGCATTTCACCTGTAACACAATTTTACCTCTGATAATTAATAAAAGGGAAAAAATTGGAAAAAAAAAAATCAGTACCAATGTTAACAACCAACCAGATAGAAGATAAAGATAGGCGATGATAATCTATGAAGCGTTGTTTGCACAGAGGCTCCATCGATTTCGCTCATTAAGTTTGATAAGTGGGCTGTTTTGATAAGCAGAAACTTCTGGAACTTTGTCAACAGATGTTCACGCGTTCTATTCGGATTTCACAAAAGCCTGTTTAGCAAATGGTGCCACCACAGACCACGAATTCGGGCTCTTTCGCTCCAACTTCTCCAAACTTCTCTAAATCGTGCAGATTATAATACAATAATAAACTTCCGTAAACGAATTCTGTTTGAATTTTAAGCTGTAACTTCGGTTTATCCCGATTTTCTCTCAAGCTCCTAAGGGCATTTAGTCAGTTTCACTTTAATCTCCAATTCTAGGAAGAAATATCGCAAAATTGAAAATAAAAATTCATAACTACCCAAGTGCCCTTCAGATGATAAAAGTTTGAATAGAAAAGAAATGAAATCATAAAATAATCAAAAGAACGAGAAAATAATCTCGAATTCTAGGAAGAAATACCGCAAAATTGAAAACAAAAATTCCTAGCTATCCAAGTGCCCTTTAAATGATAAAAATTTGAATAGAAACGGAAGCGAAATCGTAAAATAATCAAAGAAAATAAGAAAATAATCTTGAATTTCAGGAAGAAATACAGGAAAATCAAAACTAAAAATTCACAACTGTCTAAGGGCCCTTTAAATGATAAAAACTGCAACGAAGAAAACCACTAAAATCATAATACAATCAAAATAATATCATGGACAAATATTTCCATTACAAAAAATATACAAAATTCACAGAAATAATATTGAAGAAAAAAAGAAAGAAATTACAACAATTTGTACAATTTTAACTCGCCTACTAAATTTCTCTGTATCCTGCTAATTATCTTCTTTCACCGTACCAATCTACCCAAGCATCGATCGATCACACCGGTATCAAGAGGAAAAATCTGGAGGAACCGGGAGAAACAATAAATAAACTCGTTCCGCCAAATCGAATAGAGACCATCGACATTTCTCACGCGGAAATTTCGCCAGAAGCAACGAGGGAGCGATAAAGGAGGGTGCGGGAAGACAGGTGATGGATTCGAAAGGGCCATACACTGTGATGTCATTATCAGGAATATGGTTCCTCGGTCAGTAAGCCTAAACGCTCGTACGTCACGCGTGAACGTTGAGCTACGATCAAATTATAGGGCAGAGGCTGACAGATGGAAGAATTAGCGAGATTACGAGAAAGCCAAACCAACAGGCCTATAAATTATTTTCCGATAGGGTAGTATAGCTTTTAGACGGATGAGGGTGGCGTTTTCTATTTTCTTTCTTTCTTCTTTTCTCCACTTCGCGGTGGAAGCTAGCCTCAACACGATTCTCTTCTTAGAAGATTACTCGAAATGTGATTAACGTCTGGTAGATTCGGGGGACAAACTTCTAATTCGACCAGAGATATCGCGAAATATTCGCTTTTCCAGACTATTTTTAGTATTTTTCATTTTTATTCAATTCTTCTCTTTGTCAAAAGACCATTTTATCCAAAGAGCTAAGTTTCGGACGAATTTTCCTATTTGATAATTAAATTAACGTGGTTTCCTTTTTTAAGCGCTCAATATTCAATTAGAATATTCTATCTCTTCTCGACTATTTTTAGTATTTCTTAAATTTTTGTTTTAGTAGAAAAAGATTTTACTCGAAGAGCAAAGTTTCAGGAGAATTTCACTGTTTAGCGATTAAATTAAGCCGTTTGTTTTCTCTCCGAGGCGATCAATACAATAAAAAGGACAGTGTTTGTGTCACTGACCAATTTCAAGCACCTTGACACTGTTTTTTTTTTTTTTACGAAAAATCAGTCACCTTGTTTGGCGAAGAAAAGTAGCTGTATGATTAATTAATCGACTTCCAGCGTTATCAAGTATATCGAATCTTTTCCAATATTTGTCAACTGGTCTTCGCTAAATTACGCAACAGATTGTCATCAACCTTGTTTAGGCGACCAAGCCTTGAAGCATAAAACAGGTAGAATTCTACCTGCCGTTTCACCAACCTAACACGATTCATTTCAGTACGAAAATCCAACAAAGTAATCGCTAAAATGCAAATCGTTCGTTTCAAATAAAAAATTTAATATTAAAACGTACTGAAATTACAAATGAAAAATTATAATAAAAAGTAGAAATTTAATATGTAACATTTTCGGTTTTCCTAATTTTTTGTTCTTCCATACTTTCAGCGTTCAATCGTTTAAATCATAATTGCCACTATTTTTCTATTCTCAATGTACCGAAATCGGTGAATATCGATTTGGTATTCTAATCAGACGCCCATTCACCCACTGAATGGGCAGAAAATCACCGAAAGGAACTTTTCAATGTATGCGAACAGCCATTATAGACATTTACTACCATATTCCATTCAAATTCAATAACCACATTTGTTGCTCTTTCATGCTTCTTTACAATTTCCAACGTGTCTGCTTCTGAATCGTAAAAATCCAACTGTTTCCCCTACAAAGGAACCGTAAAAAAAAGATACTTCTTCCAAGACTTCTTCATTTTTTCCATTCGTTCGAGTCGTTGTTCGAATTATCGGCGAGAGTTTATTTATCGAAAAAAAATTTATAAAATAAACTCTATTATCGGGATGTTCAATTAAGATCTAATATTAATTATATCTTTTATCGTGTCGTTTGATAAAACATAGATCTATCACGAATTGAACACAATTTTTTTTGTCCGATTGATCTGTCTGAAAAGTGGTAACTCGAGCTTAATCCCGTAATTGAGCCTCGATGTTTGCGGAGGCTTAATTTCGGCCTCCGTTTGTACAACGAATCAATTTGTGCAGCTCATTTTGTCAATGACGGATCAATTGGCAGATTATGAAACCCCTGGGGTAATAGAGCAAACGATGCGATGGAAAAATAAATAACATTCAAGGGATCGAACGGTTTAAATTGTTTATTTAATAACTGGTCCATCGTTCATCAAATTCTAATTATATCGAAAAGCAAATTTTACAAAAAGGTGTTAGAATCTTAAGTAGTTAATAAATTATTACGTTTATTTTCTAAACATGGTTAAAAAAGAATCTTCCTAAATTTGCAGATTTGCAATATTAAAAATTGTAGATAAAAGATATTATTTTATTTATTATTATTGTACCACAAAAAATTGGACAAGGAAATTAAGATATAATAGAAAATAAAGTGAAAGAGTGGAATGCAACAATTTCTGTCCTCCTCTACTATATTTCTACTGTAAAATTTTCAATTCTAATGTTTCAACCTAAAGAAGCTTAATTTATGAATTTCCTCGTGCATTGCAACACAATTAACCCATTTTCCTTACTACTGTACTTGTCCTTTTCGATTTATACCAACGACTGATAAATATAGCTCGACGTCCTGTAGTTCTGTTAACTTTCGAGGACAAACGAAGGTAAAATGCGACCTACAAACCCATAAAGACATGAAAAGAACGGTGGTCATGGTGAATTAAAGTTCAGTTCGTTGTTAGCGTCACTCGTGATCATCCAATCGGCACGATCCAATTGAGGGAAGAACAATTATGGTGGCTCAATTCATCCCGTTGATTACCCTTTGATCCGTAGAACAAAGCGTCGCATCGATATTCTTCATTGGAACGAGACAGAAGTTTCGTTTCACCTCGAAAAACACTTTGTTCGTCGAAAAAAGAAACGTCGAGAAATCATTGTATCATCGATATCTGTATAAACATGTATATTTCTATAAAAACAGCTGCATCTTCTTCTTACAAACTCTTTACTCCATAAAATTCTCTTCAAACAGCTACATTCAACGGGAATTTTTGTATTTATCTCGTCACTTCTCAAGCATCGTTCTTCCTATCGTAAAATATCCCATGTTTCAAGAGAAGCTGAATGCGAGTGTTCCAATTAACTCAGAAAATTACAAAAAGCTCAAAAATTCCTACGAAAGGTAACCATCTTGATTTCTCCGCTCCTTCAACGTGTTAAGCATGAGATTAAAAAAATATAAAAATAAAAAATAGAAACATTCTTATTCTTCTTTATATCTTTACAATAATACTCTCTTATGTTCAACGATTCACTTACTCCAGTTCGACGAATCTCGGTGACCAAGACACAGTTCTTTTTCGCATGTTTCAATTCACGTGAGAGTTCAACCAACTTTCCAATTTCTTGCTATTTTCGCTCAACCATTTGATGTTGTTCGACACAGTTTCCAGCGCTTTGGCTCGATTCATCACGCCAGCACCAGCTTCAGGATATTTCGCGAAGAAGACTTTCATTTCGTTTAATTTCGTTTCCGTGGCGAACGTCTTCGTAATTACTGGGATCAGAGAGCCGAGATATCGATCGTTCAACGTGAATCTGTTCACCAGGAACTCCCAATTAGAGCGTACCCAGTCCCAGACTAATGGTGTTCCCACAGAGTTTCCGGAAATGGCGGTCAAACAGCTGAAGAAGTCCTGCGCGCGTACGTAGTCCTCGTCCGTGGCTAACGTGATGAATCTTTGAACAAAAAATGGGAAGCATAAAACTCTGTAAGGAAATTCCTACCTATTTTGTTCGGCAATCTAATTTAATCTAATTGTTTTTTTTTTTCTTAATTTTATTATTGTTTGTAACTATCGATATTTTTCGTCAAATGTGTGGAAATACATAAATAAATAAATTTGTGTCGACATAGAACTTCGAGATTTCTCTGGAATTGAAATTTTCCTTTTTCCTTAATAAGACGTCAAAATTTTGAAATAAAAATATTTGTAAGATTATCTATAGTAGGGTGCATTTAAAAAATAATTTTTGTTATACTTCGGTAACTAAAGTATAAGCTTGAATTTATGAAGAAGAATTTCAACTATGTGTAAATGATTGTTTAGCTATTTTTCAAAAATTGAGAATTTTACTGATTCAAGATCCAAGAGGACCGTATTCCAGCCAATCCACGCATCAACTTCAACTTCTCTGTCGCGTCAGTCTCAGTGCTGAACTTTTCGAACATTATTTTCCATGTTGCTTCATCGCCAACGTAGTTCATTCCTGAAGTAACAAATTAGAAAATTCTGGTAATAATACTGAATTAATGATACGATCAGGAGAAATTCACCGTAATAATAGACGAAGTCGCAAATGTCAGGATGGGGACGAACATCCTTGGGATCGTAAATCCAACGCTTGAACAATTCTCCAGCTTCTTTCAAGCATTCTTGGTGCCCCATGGAGCAGGCTAATCCTAACACTGTTGTTCTAAGTTTTCTGCACATTTAAAAAATGAAAAGATTCTACAATAAATTAAATTAATTGCACACTTCTTCTTTAGCTCTCTCCATTTCCAGCTAAAGTCTAAAATAAACAGTAACGTTTTTAAGTCTTCCCAAGTTTCTCTGAAGCTAAACTTTGAAAGGATTAAAAGTGCAATAAAAGTGTAGTTTGAAAGTAAAGAAGTTTTACTAACAGTCGAACGCGATCTTCAGTGCCGCTCACGTGCCATCCTACTGTGTGATAAGCACTGTCCACTAAATTTCTCACGTATTTCTGAAAAAATTACAGAAAATACATTAATTCCATATTTTTATCGAAAATGATATCAACCCTTTACCTTGAACTTCGTCGAGGAATTAGTCGAAGATAACAAAATATCAATTTCTCTTAATTTCGAAGAAGCTACGCTCCAGGAAATAGCATGATTTTCTCGAGGAAGGTACTCCGTAATATTCATCGCCATATCGTAATCAATTTCTCCGGCGTCTGCTAAACTGAACACGTCTTCTAGAAGATGTGCTCTATTTGACACAGAAAGTGTCTGTAAAAAAAAAATTAAAATTCCAATCCATCAAGAATATAATTATTTGGTTAATTTTCAAAAGATGTAAAAGATGAGATATTCACTTCGTGCTGGCATTTAAGAAGATTGCTAAGGGTGTCCCAATCAGCTGGTTCGTAATTAACGCGATAGTATCCAACCTCGTCTGCGTTGAACTTGATCCATTCTACTGGTTCTTTGAATTCGATCTCCACTACAGAGTTCAGAGCAAAAGGAGAATGTTCACAATAAATTTTAACGTAGAAACGATAACTGAATAATCTTGTAGCAAGTTTAGAGGATATTTGAAAATTACATTGAATTAATTCATTTCAATCGAAAAGAAAAATTCTTACAATCCTTTGCGTCCTTATCGAACCACACAAGTGTTGGCTTGGACATTTTGTCCGTGATGTAAGTGACAGGAATGGTCCACTTGTATCTTCGAAACAACATGATTAATTTTAAAGTAATAAAGGATGAAACACTTAACGAATGAGACACTCAAAAAATATTCCCTTAAATTCATTATCTCACCCGTAATCCGATTCTGAAAGATCGAATTTAGCATCAGGATCAGCCAAAAATCGTTTCTGAGTCAGAATATATTTATTTCCAGATTTTTTCACGTTCACCACGGGGAATCCTTTCTGTCTCGTCCACGTGTCCATAATGTCTGTCACGTTTAATTTATCTGGCGAGGATTCTTGCATTATTTTAAACAAATCAGCTGTTTCTGCATTGTGATACATGAATTTGTTCAAATAAGAGGAAATTGCACCGTAAAACACCTCTGGTCCAATAAAATTCTCCATCATTCGAATAACTGACGATCCCTTAAGATAAACGAACAAGTTAGAAACACTGTAAGGTGAAAATCGAAGATGTGTCATTTTTAACGAGTCACCTTTTTGTAAGATATTTCATCGAATATCGCTGTAATTTCGTCAGGATTGCTGACTGTTTGCACTATAGGGTGAGAGCTCAGTTTTGCATCGGTAACGAACACAGAATGCATTTGTTCGATCAAAAATAGATCCATCTAATAAAGCAAAAATATTCAACTCCGTTAAAATTTCCTTAAACTCCATGCTTTTCAAAATATTTTGACTAAAATTTTTGTATCACAGAAATAAGACTGAAACTGAAGATTTTTTAACCTAGTCAAACTACAACTGAATTATCTAATTAATTAACTAACTAACCAATCCCCAGTCTGGAAAAACAGCGTCCGCGCTTTTGTATTGCATGAAAGAAGCGAAACCTTCGTTCAGCCATAGATCATTCCACCACGACATAGTAACTGAAAGAAAAAAATAAAATAAAAATTGAAGAAAAAGAGGAAAATTTCACATTTTTCTCGTTTTCGATAAGAGTAATCCTGCTCACCTAAATTTCCAAACCACATATGAGCGAACTCGTGGCTGACTATAGTGGCAATATCGTAAGCTTTCGCGTTAGAGCTTGTCTCATTGTCGTACAATAACCTGGCCTCTCTATACGTAACTAAACCCCAATTTTCCATTGCACCGGAAACGAAATCAGGAATAGCCGCCATATCTAAAAAAAAATCAACCTTGTATATATTCTTGGACATTGAATTCTCCAGTAAATACGCCAAGTCTTTACTTTTGAAAACTCACCAAGTTTCGGCAAAGGATAGTCAATGTTAAATAATTTAATATAATATTCAATTATCTTCACGCCAATGTCGAGAGCAAATGCGCCTTTCTGTTGCTGAGCTCTGGTCGTATAAACGCTAACCGGAAATTTACGATCACCATGGCCCTTTGCCATTTTGGTTAACGCGACAAAGTCGCTGACTATGAAACAAGATAAATACGTCGACATTGGCACGCTTTTTGCAAACGTCACTGTCGTTAATCCTTGCGATGGTTTATCTATTTGTGTACTCTAAAAAAATATAATAATTATTTCACGCTCATAGTTTTGATAATAAAAATATTTTCAATGTGCTTCCTACTTCTGCATTCATGTTAGATAAGGCACTATAGTAATCTCCTGTTGGATGAACTAATTTCACCGTGTATTCCGCTTTAAATGCAGGCTCGTCGAAACAAGGGAAAGCTCTTCGAGCATAAGTCGGTTCGAATTTCGACGTTGCAATCCATCTATAAAAAAAAAAAATAAAGTAAGGAAAATTATGATAGCAACATAAGTATTAGATTTAGGGTAAATCCCCCGGATAAATCTTCCTACAATACTCGTACATCATACGTGATAGATAAGAGTATAAACTTCAAGATACAGACTCTTATTTTTAAAACACTTCATCAATTTTCCTTGGTGGAATTAAAACATTTTATCTATCTCTTTATGTAATACAATCTCAATAGAAAACAGTTAAAGAATAATGTAAAAGGAATGTAAAATAAAATATTTCATTCTCTATATAAATATTATTAATCGTGAAATGTGTGAAATTAAATTAATTCTTTGTATAAATATTATCTACTAGAGTGTATCAACTATATAAATACTATTTTAAATATTCGAGTATTATATGTATGTATATTAAATTTAATTTACATATTTTATCTATTATGTAAATAAAAAAATGTATTTTACATTCCTTTATGAACTCTTTTACAATATTCTTTAATCATTTTGTAAATTGAAAACACTTTCCTTCTACTATTTATAGAATCTCGTTATATAAAAAGATATTCATCCAGTTGGTAAAAAGAGTACAAAACAGAATATAGAAAGTATTCTGCGCACCTAATCCTGTTTTTCTCGTCTTTATATTTACTAGAATAAAAACCAACGATCTTATCCGGCTGCAGCGCGCCGTTAAACTCGAAACTCAGGTTATACAACCCCGAGTGCAGTTCATTTTTCGTCGAAACAACGAACATCTCGTTCTTCGGTATCTGTATAATATCCAGCACCTCAAATTCAAAATTCTCGTCTCGATCGTACGTCTTCAATTCGGTCCAAGTGATATTCAGATCTTTCTGATGAAGTGCTACGTAACTTCTTCTGTCTTGCACATCGATCAGAATCGTCACTTTCCCTTGAAAAGTACCCTTCTCGAGATCAGGATGCAGATAAACGTCATAATGCAAAGGTTTCACTTCCTTCGACAGACGAAAGGGCAAATTCGTAATCGTCTCGGTGTTCATCGTTGTGAAAGCTGGAAAAAAAACGAAGGAACAAAGAGTGTCTGAGTCTAAAGAGATATTCTCAAGTTGTTTATTCGTAGAAATACATTATTTGTCGAGTATCTCGATGATAAAGCAATATCTGAATAACGGTGATAAGAGAAGACGATACCGGTGGAAAATCGCTGAAACTTGGTATTTCGGTAGGCGTTGATCGTTGGAAATATTTTATTGCACGGTACAAACCACAAACACTTCAAGCCTAGCGCCATTTTAATAAACACGACGTTATTACGTAATTCGTATGGGTGGTAAATTTTGATAATTGTGCACCATACGAGGGAGTTTTATCGTTGTATCTACTCTGAACGGACATTTGTAAAGATCTATGGTCATTCGATGCACGTGATCTATGGATTTATCGACAACATTTGTAACTGCATATGCAAAACACACCGAAGAGAGGGAAATCATGTTGTTCGAACGTAGAGATACTAATATTCACTTGTAATTTAGAGAATTTGGAAAACATAGTAGAGATAATACGTTTAGGTTAGAAGAGTTCTAAGCCATAGCGTGTTATCGTTCGATGTGACAGACGTGAAAAGAAAAACAAGAGAATCAAAATTTTCTCGATTAAATTCTACGCTTTCCAAAGAAGTATAACAACGATTATAGCAGATTTGGTATTCCGTTGAATTATTATCAGCGCTGTTAAGGTATACACGTACCGAGGAAGTTTAAATTTCTCGCCAATTACGATGAGTTGTTATTATCATGTAACTGACAGTACGACGCATAGAAAACTACTTACAGTATTGACAGCTAGCTGCTTCGACTTTCTGATCGACGAGTACCAACAACGTCCCTAGGCATGTGCAGATCAAGCTGAGAACGAAACAGAAGCTGCAGGTGAAGCAAAGAAGACCGGTTCCACGTTTCGTTAGCGTTCTCGTTGCAGAAAACGCGACAGAACTTTGTCCAGCGCCCTCGGAACTACTACGTCTCGGCGTCTTCGTAGCCATCTAGTGCGCATGCGTCACTCACGAAAACTCAAATTCTACCTAAAAGATCACGCGAATTTTCCCATTATTTTCCTTCGAATATCGCACGACGATATCGCGAAAAAATTCTACGCATAACGTATAATCGCTAAAAGCTACCTCCTTAAGCGAAAAACTGAGACAACTTAAGGCGGGAAGTTTAAAATCGATCGAAAGAAATCCAAGAAATTTCAATTGAAATAAAATTATAGAAAATCGTGTCGCGTTTTCTCCAACATTATTGCACTACTGTTCAACGATTATTTATGAAAGTCTCCGTTGTTTTACTATTCACTTAAAAAATTGCCACTACCCCTGTATAACGCGATAAAAAAAAAAAAAAAAAGAACGTACAAAAATTCGAAATTTTCGAATAATGAAATTTCACCGAAAAACCGACGTCGGTGGAACTTCATTTCTACTACATACTACCGTGGTTCTAACAATTTACTTTCCCACGAACGGTACAATATTTCTCTCTCCAATCTTCCAAATTCTACCACTGTTTTCCGTTATCATCACAGCAAAATCCAACAAAATAGTCACTACGCAAATATCGTCTAAGAAACGGCAAACCTGATTGTTCAACGTTGAAAAAGGATGCGCGCGCAACGTCCGCACAGACCGGTGACGCAACCAGAACTATCAACACCGAATGAGTTCACTACGCTTATTGAATTAGCTTCCTCGCCGTCTCTCCCTTCTTTACCTTCTGCGAGAAACACCTCTACCCAACCTAACTTAAACCACGAAATTGAATAATCATCAGCCGGACACTGTTTTACAACGAGAACTATCAAACACTGAACGAGTTCGCTACGCTTATCGAATTATCTTTCCTCGTCGTCTCTCCCTTCTCTTCCTCCTCCGAGAAACACCTCGATCAAACCTAACTTGAACCAACGAAACTGAATAATCCTCACAGACAAACGCGCACAATTCTGCAACACTCTCGATCTTAATCTCTCCTCCGACGATTAATTTTCTTCTTTTCACTTCGTTCCAACTATCAGCAAGTTCGTTTATCGCGCGATATCGCCGCCGATCCCTTCTAGTTGACACATTAGAAAAAAAAAAAGAAGAAACCAAGGCACGCGTGATTCGGTGAAAGTGAGAGAGTTTCGTCGACGTACACAAGCGTGAAAACTCGGCTAATCCCGTGGAACGGTGATCGTCCGTTGCACGATCGACGCGCTTCGAAAGATTGATCGACGCGTGATCGATGGGTTGTTCAAAGTTGACGTAGATCGATGGTTATGGGAGATTGAGAGAGGTTTCGCTTGTTTTCAACTGTTGCGCGAACGTTTAAGGCTTTCGAAACGAGGTTCGACTGTGTTACAGTGGTTCAAGGATTTCGATTGGAATTCGAGTCTCGTTGCGCTTCTGTATTCTGTCGTTGGGATCCCTTCGACGTGGCTCTTTTGCGTGACAGATTGTGCAGTGTGCTTTTGTCCAAGTATTTTCGAAGAATTTTCGAGTCGAGGCTACGTTTTTTTTAGTTGGAAATGAGATTCTGGAGTTTTGGTTTTAACGTTGCTTCGAGATCACGTTTGTTCGTCGGAAAGTAAATTGTAAATTGTCTCTCGTTTCGACTGTTGCTTCGAAATTTTTCTTAATACAGTAAATTCTCCACAAGTGTCAGTCCGGAAGGAATCTAAACCTGACAATTGTAGAGTCAGGGACTACGTTTTCGAACCTCGCGCCCGCCTTTGTAGTTTGCCGAACGTAGACAAAATGACATCAAACACGACATTATTTGAACAACATTTACTTATCAACGCGTTCACTGTCACGCCAGATATTTCACTGCATTGAGATAAAACAGACGCCCTGTATTACATTACATAGAGTCGGCCTACCGTTTGACTGCC